GGGGGGCCTGTGTTAAAAAAATTTTTTTTTTTTTTTCTTTTTTTTTTTTTTTTTTTTTTTCCCCCCCCCCCCCTTTTTTTTTTTTTTTTTTTTTTTTTTTTTTTTTTTTTTTTTGGTTTTGTTGCCGTTTCCTTACATATACCCCAAATCCTTTGGCAGATAAGGAAATAAATACATTTTATTACTGCACAGTGTGCTTGGTGTGTCCCATAAATACAGTATTGAAAGCATCAGCATAGTTTAAAAGTTCGTCATCAAACTTTTTGTGAGTACGAAGGTCAGGAACAACTCAATCAAAAAGTAAGTGACCACAAAATCAGCTTTACTATGAATATGTTGAACAAACTGTTTTAAGATTTGATTCCTCTGAAGTGTTTGGTTTTCTTTCTCTTTCTCTTCATCATCACCTCTAAGTCTTCATCTTGTTAACAATCCATTTTACTGTTTGCTAAAACCAATGCATCTCATTTTAGCTAAGTATTTTTAATAAAATTTTAGGATAGTCATTCAAACGTTTCAATCTGATGTATGACTTAAATCAGTTGTATATTCTGAAAATTTGCATTAAGGCATATTTGCATTTTTTTTCTATTCAGACCTGCTAACTTCTATGACATATGGTAAATTAAAGCCCTTGATCAAATCAGAAGAAATTATTTGGACTTCTTACAGCTTAATAATATTTATTGGACCCATTATGTCACATTTGCTTACAATAGGCTTTGAAAATGTATGAAAACTTCTCCAAGGTGGATACGACATGTCCTGCCAAAGTAGATAAATGCAAAGATAAATGAACGGATTTCAAAAATTAAAATATTTTAAATATTTTAGAAGAAAACACAATATTTGTGTGGCTTCTTGCTTTGTTTAATGCAAATACAAAATCTTTATATGTGAGGTAGTGGCATCCAAATCTTTTGTTTTTTAAATCAGTTGCTTAGACATAATGGACGGATAGACAAAGAACTCACAAAGAATTCAAACCCCCGTCACCCTGCTTCCCCCCAAAAAAAATCAGTTTAACATTTTATTGTTCCTTTAAAACCTGTAATCTTGAAAATAATATTCAGTATCAGGTTTTGTTCATGTACTCCGACTTCCATCACAACATATTAAACAGAACTTAAACAGATAACGTATTTCTAATTTTACAGCTTTAGGACAAAGAAATATGTCAACAACAAATTTCTGTTTTCCTGTTTTCTTTTTAAGTTGCTTTTATTTGTTCTCATCCCTTTAAATTCAGCACATGACAGACTCCTTATCGTGGGTACAAGGCCAGTGTGTACAATCTGACGGTGACACCCTCACCTCAGATTATGCTGCTGTCAACACATTCCCAGGTTGTCGTCACTCATCTTTTAGATTCCTATTCGGGGGCTGATTGTGTTGATAACAGACTGCTGTTGCACTAAACTGTGCATCATCGTTTTTTGGCATGCGGAGGAAGTGGCGGAGGGCTGGGTCAAAACTGTTATCACCCTATCATATCTCTGACAGCTTCCTGTCAAAATCAGGTCGCAGGAAGAGATGCAAGGAGATCCTGCGATGCTGACAAAGCCAAACTGCTCTCTCTCTCTCTCTCCCTCTCTTTTATTCTGCTTTCTTTTTGTCTGCCTTATTTAGCAGTTTTAATTCTCTTTGCCACTTAGCATATGCTTAATAGGACTGGTGATGATAGTGAGGGTTGTGGGGGGTAGGTGGGGAAAGGAAGAAAAGCAGTGGGAGTGAGGGGTGTGGTCTCAGTGTTGGGGGTGTGTGGATGGTTGGGTCAAAGCGGTGGCGTCTCAGAGCCTTGGTGTTTCTAAAGAACCAGAAAAGTTTATGAACCGTCAGCGTTCTGTCAGGGAAGGAAAAAAGCTCAGCTCGTGAGCCTGTTTGATGCGTTTGTGCTGTTTGCTCCTTCAGCACGGTAAAGGAGGGACAATGACGTACGAACCGCAGACAAAGACACACAAAAAAAGTGATGTGATGTGAGGAGGGCTGGTTTGATTTGGCAATCAGCACACTGTCCATTCACCCTCCCCTCCCTATGCTGTCTCTGTGTTTACTCCAGATGCTGGGGAAGACTTGGCGAAGGCAGCAGTGAGCCTGCAGCCGCCTCCATCCCAGGTCAGGGAGCGGAGCATCGGCTCGTCCTCTAAGGACTGCCCCTACTGCGGGAAGTCCTTCCGCACCTCCCATCATCTCAAAGTCCACCTGCGGATACACACAGGTCAGTACGGTTAGCATCGTGTCAGTAATTTTCTTCACTATTAAACATTTATTGTACTTCATGCAAAATTTACTTCACTACTTGTACTGACATTTCTTCTGGGGTTAGATTGACATATTGGGTTCTGAATATTGGCCTAATCACATATTGGACGGCCTTGTTACATGATGGATATGATGCAGATTAATCAATTGCATATTTTCCAAATGAGAACACAAGAAATCATTATTGGTAATGAATAACTAGAAAGAAAGGAAGGAAGGAAGAAAGAAAGAACAAAAGAAAGATTTTGATTTTAACAACACATTTATTTTTCAATGGATATACATTATGACATCAGAATTTACCCTAAGAAACAACCACATAAACACAGAGTGAAAAAGTAAATGTCCATAAACCACAGAACACACAACATTGTCAAAACACCACAGAGTGAAAAATTCAGATTATTCATCACTGAAAAGAACTGAAATTCAGCTTTAACTGTCCCTAACCATCAAAGTAAACATAGTGTCAACTTTTCCCACTGCAGTATTATTTATCTTACTTCTTCTACTAATATAAATGGAAACTTTTGCTTATGCAATCAGAAAATTTAACAATATCCTCTTATTAGTTTATTTTTGTCAATATGCACCAAATATAAAAGCCACTTGAGAAAAATAAACTCCACATTAAAAAAAAAAAAAACATCTTCCAACACAATAAACAGTGGTGACCTAATTCAGTTGGATCTTTTTAAATCTTAGACACAAAACTGTTAACACTCTCTGCCCCGTGAAAAGTCATCCACTTCTTTCTTTACTCAAAGAAAGAAAGATAGAAAAAGAATGAAATTTTTATTTCAATTGTAATAGAGTTTGTTTGCAGTTAGGGTTACGGTTCATCAAGCTTTTTAAAGTCTTTGAGAGTCACCTTGTTCATATTTGTACAGGTGCGTACCAGTACTAGTTTGGATTTGTGTCTGCATTCAGAATGATTACATGGACAGCACCCAGTGCTTTACCTCTAAAACTAAAGTTATTCTACCTAAAGATGAGCCAGAATCACAGTCCAACTGGATTCTGTTTTAAAAATGAAATTATTTTATTTCATTTTTCACCTAATATAACTGACTGGGGAAACAGATTTGTCAGAATGTAGCCAAGAGGCCCATAGAATCACTGGAGGAGTTGCAGGGACTCACAGCTCAGGTAGGAGAATATTTTAACAAGATTACTGTTATACTATGCCCTTTTTTTTTTTTTTTTACAGAGGCAAGAAGAATTGCTGAAAGAAATCCATTACAAGACAATGTGGCACTGGTTTAGATCAAAGTATATTCACATATGGTAAAGAATTAACAAAGACTTTAATCTTTAGATATTACCCAGCTGATAGAGACACAACCCAAAGTCTTACAGTCTGCAGTGGGATGAATAAAAACACATGCCTGGTTTTATTTTTATGAAATAAAAAAACTGCAAAGGGACATCAATTTCAATAAAACCATAAGACAGAAAAAAAAGCAAGATATTTGAGAAGCTGGAACAATATTTAATTTGTTGTACTTTTGTTGTGTAATCGAGTTTAAACATTGGATAATCTTGAAAATCCAGATTGAAGAAAATTTACCTGACCATCCTGCAGGGCATTTACAAGCAGGCTCATTTGCATGGAGAGAACTAAGTAACCTACATTTGCCTGGTCAAAGCATTATTGAGCAAGGCATTAAGATCCTTACCTACAGCTTACCTGGATCACCTAAATAGGATTAAGAAGGTTAAGAGTTCAACTGAACACTTGTAATGGAAATACATACTGCATCCTAAAAGGGTTCACACTCTTGTTAAAATGCCTGTTTTTTTCTAATATAAAAAACATCCCTCCTTCATAAGACCTTTAGAAACCTTTTGCACCTTTATATGTGTTTATCCCACAATATTTGTTTAAGTTAAAATGCCCAAAGTATATGTCAAATTAAAGGTGGAACAGTTTGTCCGCAGTTGTGTTTCCATTAGAAATATATATTTCTACATATAATATAGAAATATATTAACGTTTTCAATATTACATTGATGTTGGAAAACAAAACAATTCTACAATTGTGTTTTTCAATTAAATAAGAAACATAATTGAAATCATACCTCCTACCACTTCCTGTCGTCTTCTTCTTCTTCATGTTTTGCAGCAGTTGTAACATCCTGTTTTTGATCATGTGACTTGTGTCATGCGAAAAAGTATGTCCATAGCAGTTTTGTGAAATAAACTAATTACGAAACAGCAAAAAAAAACAAAAAAAAAAACAACAAAAAAACACACTTCATCCTTCCAGCAAAAACTTTTTTTCAAAATTGGAGTGTTTCATCCATCCATCCATCCATTTTCTGAACACCCTTGTCCCTCAGTGGGGTCGGGAGGGGTGCTGGTGCCTATCTCCAGCTAACGTTCCGGGCGAGAGGCGGGGTACACCCTGGACAGGTCGCCAGTCTGTCGCAGGTGGAGTGTTTCAATTAAGTAAATTTATTTTCCAAATGTCAAATTACACAATCCTCTGGTAAATGGATTGATCCTCTGGTCAAAGGAAATGCAGCTTTGTAATGTCACAAAAACCTTCTGTGTCCATGAAAGTGGAGGATTGAGTCAAAAAAAGTTAACCTGAGCTGAAACCGAACCTAATTACAAATCTTATTTAACAATTTAAAAAAGTCTGTTCTTATTTGCTTGTGTTTCCTCTTTGTCTGTCAGGGTGCTGAAATGATAGGGAGCCCCCTTTTGTTTCCTCAATGAAAGCACGTATTGATCCGAGGCCAGGAGAAACCCTTCAATCTGCACCATGCTAACACATCCAGTAACACTTACCAAATTAGATTTCTTAAGTTAAATAGCACAACCAGGCTGTGCTATCCCAGCAACGCTCCATAGCTGGTGATGACTTTGGGAGGCATTTGATATCTGTTAGGTCAGGGAGCTGAGTTATGTCTGCTTTGAGTAGTATGCTGCAGTAAGAACACCCCTGAGGGCCATATTTTATCATGAAGGAAGTGCAGGCCTCCATCTTGGCCTGGTGTTTTGCAAAACATTTAACGAAATACGCCGCTAGGCCGATCTGATTTCCTTCACTGTATATTTTACATTCATTCGTTCATATTTCAACATATAGTGAAACAACACAGAGAAACCCCCCCTCCCCCCGCTCTTCTGCAAAACTTGTAAGGTTTAGTGAGGATGTTGTCTTTTCAAGAGGAATGTATCCTTGGATATGGGCCTGTTTAAGCACAGATTTAATAGTGTCTCTTCCACACATGCAAAGGGGGGGAAAAAAAAAAAAGCTTGATGCATCCCCAATATGTGGTCTTTAAATCATTCCTATGCTCTAATCGGAGCAGCTCCATTATCACCACAAGATGACTTCTGCAGGGGCTGAAGATCTGCTCTGTGCTCCGGTGACAATGCGAGGAAATTCACAGATGACAGCCGAGCTCTCGTTACCCTAATGCAAAGTGACTGACACAATAGAGTTGCTTACCGAGCTGGCCGAGGCGGCATTGTGCGGTGCAATACGGAGATTAATGAGTGACTAACACCGGCTTGAAAGGAATGAAGTGAATTTAAATTCCTCAAAAAGTTAAAGAGCTAATGTTACAGTATTAATTTCCTCTTGAACATCGAGTGGGAAAATATCCATTAGCAAAATTAACCACAGTTTTCTAGGTAGCTAACATTGTGCGACTGTGGCACTACAGTGTGGGGCCAGAGCTAATGAACACACTGCAGAGGGTGATATTTCATTATACAAATTAATGCTCACATTTTAATGGGAAAGTCACATAATGAATCTAGGCTTCAGTGACAGCAATTAGAGGCCCAGATTGTCCCCTTCTGGACAAGGCACTATTTAGCAGTAAGCAGCTGTGTGTAAAAAAAAAATAAATAAAAAAAGACCTCGCTCCTGACAATAGCTTCACATAACTTCAGGCCGAAGCACATAGCCAATAAGAGTGCCTGCTCGCTTTAAATGAGCAGAGGGGGAGAGAAAGAAATGGAGACAGGGGGAGAGAAGAAGCATGACTTGCCCGTGTCATTTAACCTTAACCTAACCTTGTAATCAGGATGAATCAAGAGGGACCTGTGATCTCCGTCTCTATTCCTCTCACTCCTTTGGGCCCCTCCCTCTCCTCCTTTCCATTCTTCCTCTGAGTATCTCTGTGGGGTTTTTTCAGCGCATTTACCTTTTTCTCATCCTTTCCTAATCTCTTCTCTTCAGTGTTTTTAATACAGTAACAGTGCAAGATTTAATATTCCCCTGTAGAGCACACTTAATATCCAAAGTTCCCCTGTGCATATAGCATCCCTTTATGGTGTGATTTTCCCCCTTTAATAATTGAACAGTTAGTCCTGGCAATATGAGAAACACTGCCAGATTACCCCCAACTGCTAAAAGACAAAAATGCTAGCATTAGTAGATTTATTCTTGACAACAACCATATGATAAATGTATTTAAGAAAAAAAAAATAACATAATGAGCACAAGTGTTAACGTATTTAATAAAGTCAGTTTCTGTTGTGACGTTATTCAAACATCAGCAAAATTTTGGTGAGTCAAAGAAAACAGAATAACCATGAAAGCTGTAAAATATGTTTAGTATCTGCCTGAAGAAAAGAGCATGACAGAAAAATGACTGTATAATAAACGGACTTTATGGTATTTTCACAACTGATAGTCCAGTTGACTCGATTCGATTAACTTGGCTTTCTTTCATATTGCACTCACTGTCAAATGAACCAACCTATTGAAAATCCTGTTCCTCTCCTCGCCTGTGGTGGCAGTGCACCAAGAACCACTGAAGAAAACGACAGGAAAACCTCTAAACAACGCCCTTCTTCACCAAATGTAAACAAAGATGCAGTTGCAAGATTTCTTTGTCTTTGGTTTTTCAACAATGGCCTCTGTGTGAGCCATTTCTCCCACTAGCATTAGACATGTTTTGGTTGTATTTACCCACAATGCCTTGCAGTAT